TAGTGATACTGCCTTGGAAACCCAGGGAGGGGTCGCTGTACTCGATGGCAGTGAGTTTGGTTTTGGTTTATAGTGACTTCAGGTACCTACGTAGGTCTCTGGGGAGCTCTGGTGTCATAGTGCCTAAGGCATTTGACTGCTAACCAGAAGGCTGGCAATTGAAACCCACCAGCCACTCCTCGGAAGGAAGATTGGGTGATCTCCTTCTGTAGTGATACTGCCTCGGAAATCCAAGGAGGGTTGCTATGAGTCAGATCTGACTCCAAGGCAGTGAGTTTTTAGTTTTTGTAGGCTTTGGGTGATGCGAATGGTTAAATGCTCAAGTGCTACCTAAACGCTTATTGCTGAAGATTAAAGACTGTGGCCTTCAGTATGAATTATACCTCAGCATAAAACAGAAATCCTCACAGTTGGACCAATAAACAACATCACAATAAATGGAGAAAAAAAGATTGAAGTTATCAGGGATTTCATTTTACAGGAATCTACAATCAATGTCCATGGAGGCAGCAGTCATGAAATCAGATGGCATACTGGACTGGGCAAATCTGCTGCAAAAGACCTCTTTAAAGTGTTAAAGTGCAAAGTGTTAAAGAGCAAAGATGTCTTGAGGAATAAGATGTGCCTGGCCCAAGCTATTGTATTGTCAGTAGACTCGTATGCATGTGAAAGCTGGGCAGTGAGGAAGGACTATCTGAGAAGAACTGATGCATTTGAATTGTGGTATTGGCCAAGAATACTGAAAGTACCATGGACTTCCCAGAAGAAAGAGAAGGAGCTCTGGTGGGTACAGTGGTGAAGGCATTTGACTGCTAACCAAAAGGTTGATGGTTTGAACCCACCAGCTGCTTTGTGGAAGAAACATGAAACAGGCTGTTTTTGTAAAGATTTATAGCCTTGGAAACCCAATAGGGGTCACTATGAGTTGGAGTCAACTTGATGGCAATGAGTTTGGAGGCTTTTTTTTTTTCTTTTTTTTTTGGCCAAAAGAACAAACAAATCTGTCTTAGACTAAGTATAGCCAGAATGCTCCTTAGACACAAGAATAGCCAGATTTCATCTCACATGCTTTGGTCATGTTATCAGAAGAGAGGACAGAAGGATATCATGCTTGGTGTAACAGCAGGTCAGTGAAAAAGGAGAAGATGCTCAACAAGAGGGGTAGACTCAGTGGCTGCAATTATGGGTGTGGTAGTTAAGTTTATGTGTCAACTTGGCTGGCCTTGGTTGAGTGGCTGGGCAGCTGGATGTAGTATTCTCCATGATGAGACTGATGATCAACTCCAGTGGATCTACTACGAGCAACTGAGTAGCTATGCTAGGGTTGTGTGTGATCTACTTCCTGTATATAAGGAGAAGCCTTGGACAATGGTCTCTAGCATATGGCATGCTTGGAGCCTGCATGTAGCCTTGTCATTCAGCAGCCTGCCATGCTTGCCAACCTTGGGACTTCCAGTGGACTTAAATTAATGGCCTGCCACGTGGTTTGGTAACGTCGGGACTGTGCCTTTTTACTTGTCAACCTTAGGCTTGTCAGCCTCAGTACACAGTAGCTGCCTGAGTGAAGAGATGCCTCCAGCTTCCATGAGCTGGGAGGCAAAGGCAGAGCTGAAGCCCAAGGTTGAGGGGCTTTCACTCAGCCCCTAGAGCCTGGCACTCTGAACTTGGACTTCTAGCCTCCTGAACTGTAAGAGAATAAACTCCTGTTTGTTGAGGCCATCCTATTTGTGGTATATTCTTGTCAGAGTGGCACTCGGTAACCAGAACAATGGGCTCAAGCACAGCAAAGATTGTGAAGATGGTACAGGACTGAGCATTGTTTTGTTCTGTTATACGTAGGGTTACTATGAGTTGGAGCTGACTTTACAGCACCTCACAACAACAGCAATACTAGATGAATGGTTGGCAGTTTGAACCCACTCATCAGTGCCTCAGAAGACAGGCCTGGCCATCTACTTCTGAAAGGTCATAGCCTTGAGAATCCTATGGATCAGTTCTGCTCTGTACACATAAGATTACCATGAGTCACAATCACCTCCACACCAACTAACAACAAATGATTTGTGTAAAAGGGGCTGTAGAAGGAAGGGAGAAAGGAGGAGTGAAAGAGAAAGGCTTTCTGTAGCCTAGGTCTTTTACATGTTCATACAGGTACAGAAAGAAACACTTATGATTATGTCCTTGGATCCTTTATCCCTCAGCTATGACATGTTTATTATACTTCTCTGGTAATGAATGTTTTCAAAGGGGATTGGTATTTCACATCTTTTTTTTTTTTTTTTTTTTCTTGTTTAAGCACTGCAGCAGCACCTGGCAGACATTAATGTGGATGGACCAGAAAATGGATATGGCCATTGGATTGCAAGTACCTCAGGCTCAAGGAACAGTATCAATTCTGCTGATGTAAGTGTATATGTAAATTGTGACACCAGATTTGGATAATTGCCTAGAAGAGGGTAGTAGCTATTAAACTCCCACCTTAACAGAAATGGAGTAAATATATTTCAAAAGCATTCAATGAAAAATTATATTATTAATGTGGTTAATGAAATGATGGGGCAAGCTTGCCAGTTAATTGGCCATGGGGAGTTCTGGAAGCCCAGTTGTTTAATTCATATATCTTGCTGCCCATCTGTAGTGTGGTGTCATACAGTGACAGTTTTCTAGCTTAAATATCAGTGTGGATAATGCTGAGTCCTGTAACTAGCTGGGATGCACAGGTGAGCCTATGGCAGGAATCTCCCATTTAGTTTGAGCCAGGAGAATCCTGGTGCTCATGGTCTCATCCCCCACTTACCATGTCTGTACCCCTCTCCACCAAAAACTTACATGGTTAGAACTTTAGTCCACCCACATTTATATCTGATTTTGAGTCACTGAAATATTGCAGAGTTTTGATAATTCCTTTTTTTTTGTTCTACTTGGAAATATTTGGGTCATGAGTATTCTGTGCTTTTTCAGCATTTCAGGTCAATTGAATTAGATGTAATTCAGGTTAGTTGAATTAGATGTTATTAAATCCTTAAACATGTCATAGGCTTTGTCTACTTAATGATTATTCTTTACAACCAAAATAGGAGGAAAACTGCTGTATGGAATGATAGTTTTGAGCATGGGCTTAGGGATCTCGCAGACCTGAGTTCAGATTTTATCTTCAAAACTTACTTCCTTCATGATCTCCAACAAGCTCTTCCAGCCGTGGTTTCTACAGCTGTGCAATATGGATCATAACAATAAGACCTTCCTCTTGAGAATGATGTGAGGATTAAATGTACAAGTGTATGTAAAGCATAGTATCTGTCACATACATACATAATACTGCTGTCGAGTCATTTCTGACTCATAGCGGCCCTCTTTGGGTTTCCAAGGCGGTGTCTCCATGGAAGTAGATTGCCCAGTTTTCCTTCGGAGGAGTGGCTGGTGGATTTGAAGCACCAGCCTTCTGGTTAGCAGTCAGATGCCTTAGGCACTAGTTAGTATAAAATTGTAATTCACTATATGTATTTATTAAAATTAATCTTCGTTGTTGTTATGTGCCGTCGAGTCGGATGCAACTCATAGCGACCCCTCCTTGGGTTTCCAAGGTAGTATCATTACGGAAGTAGATTGCCCCATCTTCCTTCCGAGGAGTGGCTGGTGGGCAGTTTAAATCAATGCAAATTGTTGTTAACTCAGCAGATAGGCTGCTTTTCTGAGAATTTTGTTTTCAGTCTGTCCTCTAGGTTTCTAAGCTCTGTTCATGTGAAATTGCTATTTACTTAATAAACATTTGCTGTTTTCCTTTTTAATAACTAAAGAGTATTCCATTGTATAGATGTATATTATTTATTCAGTTAGTCTCCTATTATTTATGTTGCTTCCAATCTTTTTCTATTACAAATATACCACAATTAATTTTTATAGTAATATGTTTTCATGTGCCATGATTATTTAGTCCTAGAATTTTGTCAAAAGAATACTTATCAAAATCATGGATTCTGCATTATTATCAAATTGCCGTCCAAACAATGTCATTCCAATTTATATTCCCATCCATAGAATTGGGTATCGAAGCATTTATCTTCAGATGTGAAAAACAAATTGAAGTCATTATAGAAACTGTTTTAAAGATGTGCTATATTTAAAAATACCAAAGACTTCCCACAGTCAAATTAATTTGGATATAGAAATAGAAGCATGGGAGCTCTGGTAGCATAGTGCCTAAGGCACCTGACTGCTAACCTGAAGGTTGGCAGTTCAAACCC